CTACACATAACAGTTTTTTTTATACGGTAAATAGGGCTGTGAACTATACGAAAAGGTCAAAAAGTAAAAATCTCAAAAAGTACACATAGCAGATTTTGGTTTGACAACGACGATACAGAGAAGCAGAGTGCAGAATGCTAATATTTTTTTTAAATTATGCTCTAAAATACATTAAATCAATAAAAAAAATTGTACACACACTACCATGTATTTGGCACGCACACATATATACATACTTTTTGTTCATTATTAAACTTTGGTTATTGCTTAAAGTCTGTGGTTCAATCGAGAATAGATATTGTTTATCTTTAATATTGTTTGTCTATAGTGTAGACTCGGTGAAATTTGTGATTATAGACGTATAACAGTGTTTGATAATAGAACCATAATAATGATCAAACTCGTCAAATCAGGAGATGGGAAGATGACTTGAAGCAGACAGCGGGACCATTCTGGCTGAGAGTAGCAAGGGATAGGACCCATTGGAAGGAATTGGAGGAGGCCTATGCTAAAAGGCACACCGAACTTAGGGACCTCTTGTAACCCTATGTTTAGGAATGAAAAGGCTATTATTATTATTATTATTATAAATAAAGTCGAATTTCGACTACCTAGGGGGACCACTAGTGCATATAATTCTACGACTGACCGTATTTGTTCTAGTCTGGTATTTGTCTGTTCCCGCACCGATAGCACAAAATCCTGGCTCGCAGCCGTTAAATGGGATTGTGTAATGTTAAAAAAAAATCGATCCTGAAAACTCCAGTTTTAGAACGTGTAATAAAATAACAAAAAAAACCGGAACACTAAAGCGAATTTACAGGCGACGTTTATCGCGGTAAAGCTTCGCCTTTGCCTTTAGCTGGTGGTCGCCTACGTGAGCTTTTGGACCACCGGATGGCGATATCGCTCGTTTCTATGCCGTCGGTGTATACGGGTGTAGCGTTCGACATTTTGAGGATTTTTTGGAGTTCGCCACCCGTTCAAAAACATTTGAATCCCGTGAATACGAAAAGTATTTAAGGATTAGATTTTTTGAAACGAATAATGTTTTATTAAAAACTCAGGTTAGTTTTACTATTCCGCCTATTTCTGCCACAAAGTACTCGTGTGCTACGGTTAAAATGGTAACTACAAAATAAATTTTAGTGTTCTTGAAGGCTAAGATGTCTACGAAAGAATTTATTTATTTATTTTCTTTTTTCTTCAACGATCAAAATGCTATTGTTGTGGAACTTGTATATATTGAAACTTATTTTGAAAATTTTATTAGCAACTAGCTGACCCGGTAGATTTCGTAATGCCTCAATCGATAAATAAAAAACCTAAACTTTTGTATAAAATAAACTTAAAGCAAACAAAAGGAATCCGCCCGACGGGGGACACATCAAAGGAAAAACAAAATTGTTATTTTTATTTAATTCCGAGAATTTTCATATCTAGCTATCTACCTTTTAAACCTTCTCTAGACTTCCACAAATATTTCAAGACCAAAATTAGTCAAATCGGTCCAGCCGTTCTCGAGTTTTAGCGAGATTAACGAACAGCAATTCATTTTTATATAATTAGTCTGGCCATAAATACTGCTACAATTAAAAATAAACACAATATTACATTTGAATGTAGAATCTGTCATTTTTATATGATTGCTCATTGAGTTTTCTCATTTTGGAGCCAATACATTATACAATATTTTCTGATATTAAAATGGAGTGGGGTGATAAAGAAAACCGAATCGCTGTGATTGCATTACACAAAATAGGTATGGAGTCAAATGCAATTTTTAAAACTCTCCACACGCTTGGTATTAGTAAAATGTTTGTGTACCGGGCTATTAATAGGTGCAATGAGACCTCCTCTGTTTGTGACAGAAAAAGATCTGGCCGTCCACGTAGTGTTCATACGAAAAAGGTGGTCAAAGCAGTAAGGGAAAGAATTCGAAGAAATCCTGTCCGAAAGCAAAAGATTTTATCTCCGGAGATGAAGACAGCACCTAGAACCATGTCGCGTATTTTAAAAGATGACTTAGGACTTGCAGCCTATAAGAGACGTACTGGTCATTTCTTAACTGATAATTTAAAATAGAATAGGGTGGTAAAATCGAAACAACTACTGAAGCGGTACGCAAAGGGAGGTCATAGAAATTTTTTGTTTACGGATGAGAAATTTTTTACAATTGAGCAACCTTTTAACAAACAAAATGACCTTATTTATGCTCAAAGCTCTAAGGAAGCTTCCCAATTAGTCGGCAGAGTGCAACGTGGGCACTATCCGACTTCAGTGATGGTTTGGTGGGGTATTAGCTATGAAGGAGTGACTGAGCCATACTTTTGTGAAAAAGGTATCAAAACATCGGCACAAGTGTATCAAGATACCATTCTTGAGAAGGTAGTGAAGCCCCTTAACAACACCATGTTCAATAATCAAGAATGGTCCTTCCAGCAAGACTCGGNTGAAGGAGTGACTGAGCCATACTTTTGTGAAAAAGGTATCAAAACATCGGCACAAGTGTATCAAGATACCATTCTTGAGAAGGTAGTGAAGCCCCTTAACAACACCATGTTCAATAATCAAGAATGGTCCTTCCAGCAAGACTCGGCGCCAGGTCATAAAGCTCGGTCTACGCAGTCTTGGTTGGAAACGAACGTTTCGAACTTCATCAGAGCTGAAGACTGGCCGTCGTCTAGTCCCTATCTTAATACGCTGGATTATGATTTATGGTCAGTTTTAGAGAGTACAGCTTGCTCTAAACGCCATGATAATTTGGAGTCCCTAAAACAATCCGTACGATTGGCACGTACGATTGGCAGTGAAAAATTTTCCCATGGAAAGAGTGCGTGCTTCTTTAAATAACTGGCCTCAACGTAGGACTGTATTGCAGCCAATGGAGACTACTTAGAATAAGATTTTTATACTTTAAATTGTTTTATATTTATGTATTAAACTAACACACTGTAAAAGTGATAAATGTTATTTGCAATATATATTTTTTCCTTTGTCTCAGTATTTATGGCAAGACTAGGTATATAGAATATTGAGGCATCTGTCAAATATCTTTGTACTATAGCTTAAAGCTACCCGCTACACATACATGGATCGTCTGCTTTGATTTTCGCGAGATAATTAAATCTTCTTTTACGGTTTATTCTCGCGTTTATTAGTGTCATTTTGTTATTTGCGACCTTTCTAATACTGTACAGTTTTCGTGGCCACGGCTATGGACACTAAATAAAAAAAATAGGAAACATTGTTTTTTTTTTGTCGAATTAATTGAGAGCGCTGATATTATTGAAAACGAGAAGGAGAATTGAGAACGAGATAATTATCGTATTGATATATTTACTAATAACGTAATGGAAAACATCGAATTGTTAACAAGTTTTTGATGGCTTAACTACACTCTGTTTGTTAATCGCTAAGTTTGCTCATTCTTTTTTTTTCCTACCTTAGTTGATAGCCTTGAGAGGCTATGTCAGCGTAACCTAATAAGTAGGTATGCTCACGGGGCTCAAACCTGACGATGTCTGACCCTAGCAAGAGCAGTGCTTCGCAGAATCTACCACCCGATCGGAAACGCGACCAACTGAGAAGATCCGGTGGGTAACTCAGTGGGCTGTGTCTGTGGGTTAATTTGCTCGCTGAGCCCTTCGTCGCAAGCGACGGGTTCGACGGTGACCGGTGCTTGGGGTACCTAAAAGCAGCGTTAGTGGATCGGGAGGATCCGAAATGACGTGGATGCTCCTTACTTCCAACTCACTATTCCAGCTATCAAAATTAAATTAATCCAGTCTGTCAGTTGTTTCCTTGTAATTTTTCTAAAACTTCTTAAAAATATCAAGCGTTGCTTAATTAAAGTTTAAGTAATGTAAACAAACAGATTAAAATGTTTTACATGATCGTGAGTTCGATGGCGTAGACGAGGTTACATAAAATCAATTTGAGCACCTCAGTGTTGCAAATTGCCTCGTCAACCAGCGACTGTAGTTAACCCTTTGACGCCGATCGCCGCCATTCCGACAGCGTAACACCTCGGTCGCCATCGATTTCGTTTACAGAGAATCAATCGGTCAAAGCGTTTCACAACTGCCCCGTAATTGTTGTAATTGTTTTTCTTTTGATACGACAGTGATTTCGCGGCATAATTAGACTTGACCTTTGCCATTTGCTTACAGAGTTTTACGAGCTTGAACAAAATAACAGGTGAGGTCTTATGAGTCTCGTCCGTATTTCCCTAGCTTCTCTGTCGTGCGGTGACCTTAACTTAAATTAGATTTATTTGAAGAAAAAAAAAATAGTCGTGTTGGCCTAAAGGATAAGATGTCCGGTGCATCGTATCTAGCGACGTACCGGTGTTCAAATCCCGTAGGCGGGTACCAATTATTCCAATGACATACGTACTTAACAAATATTCACGATTGACCTCCACGGTGTAGGTAACATCGTGTAATAAAAATCAAACCAGAAAAAAAAAAAATTGCGTAATTACTGGTGGTGGACCTTTTGTGAATCCGCACGAGTAGGTACCACCACCCCGCCTATTTTCTGCCATGAAGCAGTAATGTGTTTTGGTTTGAAGGGTGGGGCAGCCGTTGTAACTATACTGAGATCTTAGAACTCGTATCTCAAGGTGGGTGGCGGCATTTACGTTATAGATGTCTATGGGCTCCAATAACCACTTAACACCAGGTGGGCTGTGAGCTCAACCACCCATCTTAGCAGTAAAAAAAAGAGCGTGGATACGAGACATAATCACTTCACTGTGCTACTGACTGACAAAACTCCACTAAGACAAATCTGCTGCTGCTGAGCGATTCGCAAAGAATTAGGAGAGAGGAAGAGAGAAAGAGATGAATATATCTAAGATGTCCTATTAAAATACAATCCCTAGTGTCGACGTGTTACTGTTATCTATCATTCTCAGTAACTGCGATTCAAGAAAAGCACCGTATGTATGTAGTATAGGAAATTTAATTAAAAACGTATTACAAATAGTAAAAAATAATTAGACCACAGAACAATCAGCGGCCGCGTAAACTATCCTCATAGTGTTCGTATAGCCAGCTCCCTGCTTCCAACCGGAGACCACGACGATAGGATCGCCGACTCTCACGAAGCCCTGGTCCATCGCCCATTTGGTGCAAAAATTCACCCGGCATTCCAAATCTATTTGCCAGTCTGCGTCTGGGGCATCTGAAAGAAAACTAGTTCTATCTTCCAAACAACGTTGATGATCTTCGTTGAGAGTCAGGCCACGATGACGTCGGTTTCCATCAAAATTTAAAATTGAACTTCTGTAGTAAAATAAAATGAACATGTTGGGGAGATAATGGACATATCGACTGAGTAGTTCCAGAAGACTGAAGGCGTATATCTTTGTCCTCTAATCAGTAGCAGTCCACCATTTTACTGAGATTATATTACATCCCATATGAGATGATGTGAGATGAAATATAATCTCATTCATTTAATTTCATTCCAGTTGAGTAATGTCTCAAATTAATCATCTTCATTTCATTTCACTCCATATTGTCATTTTTCATAAAAATAAGAATATAAATTAAAATAAGACATGACTTAAGTTCTTAGCTCTTAGTTACCAGGTCATAAAATACCTTAAAAAAAGCAGTTATAATAGTCCAGCTTTATTATATAGGGACGGATATGTAGCATGACTGAGTGAGAGAGACGGGAGATGTCCTGTTAGAAGGTAAGAGAGATGGCGAATGAAGTTTTCACAAATAGTTTTTTTTTAAGCGCGGGAAGGAATGAAAAAAATGTGTATAATATATTTAATTAACTTTGCTATAATAAATACGGAATAAAAAATCAAGTTTGTGTGAAGCATTCAACTGTTTTATTGGCCCAAATCGATTTGAGGATCCCGCATAGCTCTACCGATACTGACTAATATTAAACCGATTCGTTGTCGTGTGACACTCTGTTATCTATTAGGTGGTCGGTTATAAATTTAATTAATACCATTTTTAAGGTTTAATCTCGGATTTTTATTGTCGTTATATATACGAAGAGCTTACAGTTTTCATGGTCAAACACAACTAATTGAATGTTGTGCTAAGCACGAAACATGTGAAGTATTCATAAAATCAGAAACAACTTAATGACCATAAAAAATGCGTGATTACGCCGTAAGATTAGTTTTTTAATTATGTGTACGACTCGTGAAAATCGAGGTTAAGGCTAAAAAATTATTACACAACAATGATAGGTGGTAAGACGCTTACTGATGGTAGGACGTCTTATGAGTCTGCATAGGTAGGTACCTGGTGGTACCTACCCGTGCGGACTCAGGCTATTCCTGTCGTGAAGCAGTAAATCGTTTTAGTTTGAAGGGTGAGCGGGCCTCTGTACTGTAAAAAACTGCTGCATTTAATTAAAATATGTCTAGGGACTCCTGTACCTACTTAACACCAGGTGACCCGTAAGCTCTTACACTCATGTAAACAATAAAAAAATATGAAATTTGTAATTAAAAAAATGATGATACGCGTTCTCTTTCAAATGATTATTAAACGTGTTATGGCTTAATAACATACCCTCAAAAATAAGCGGTATGATTCCTCTCCACAAGTGCAATTGTCTAGCTATAGCAGCGTATCTAGTTACACCTATAATGGGACATCTCGGTCCGTATTTAGATACAATTTGCGCCGATTTCCCGGTTGTGGTGACGACAATTATGGCGGCCGCTAATGACCGCTGCGCTGCCAGTACCGCGGCTAATCCAACACCGGTTGCTTGATCGCACGGGATCGGCGTCTATGATAATGACAATATCAATTAATGACAAAAATGATTATGATTTAATGACAATTAAGTCTTTAAACGAAACTAGTAAGATGGTGTCTTGTGTGTTTTTGTCATTAAGTTCAAGCAGTGCCAATGCAATTTAGATTTAAACGTTAGCAATCTTGAATTAGGTGCCAGGTTTTGATAGCTTTTGCATTGAATCCGCTAAAGTGCCCACAAAAGATTATGAAAATATTTTGTCGCGAGTTACAATTATTTCTGAACTCAATCATGTTACAGCTTTTCGGGAGTCGTAGATATTAATACAATTAATTAGCTTTTTTTTTATTGCTTAGATGGTTGGACGAGCTCAAAGCCCACCTGGTGTTAAGTGGTTACTGGAGCCCATAGACATCCACAACGTAAATGCGCCACCCACCTTCAAATATAAGTTCTAAGGTCTCAAGTATAGTTACAACGGCTGCCCTACCCTTCTAACCGAAACACATTACTGCTTCACGGCAGAAATAGGCAGGGCGGTACCCACCCGCGCGGACTCACAAGAGGTCCTACCAGCAGTAGCTTCACAACTTAAGCCGATGTTTTTTATTACCTTTACATTTCGATTGAGACAACATTATTGAATGTAGGCGAATAACACCCCAGTCTTTTGTGACCACGAAAACTGTAAAATATTCGAAACGGAATGACGGAAAACTTAAAAAAAAACACGTCATAAAACCGTAAAAGGACTTTTAATCGTTTATGTTATATTTTAGACAATTTCGGATTCAGACACGTAACAGTAAAGTTTGTGCCAAACAATTTTGATAAAGAGTCCAAAAAATAAATTAATGACGAAATATTTTTTGAAGTCATCCGAAGAAAAACTTAAAGGCCGACTATTAAAACTGCTAATGTTCTATATACCTTATCGACAAAATCGTGAAAAATCTGCTTAGACCAGATGCAGGCTTCAGCTTCTTTACAGGCACTGGCTAAACAGGCAACAGTGTCGACTGGGTACAGACCGACCGCTGTTTCAGCAGATAATTCAAGAGTGTCGGCACCGTCCAGAATGCAGTTCGCCACATCCAAGAGTTCCGCTCTTAGTGGTAATTTTTTGTATCTCATGCTGCTTAGGAGATGTGCGTTGACACAGACCGGAACGTTAGCCTGATGACAACTTTATGTAAGTATGATAAGTGACTATTACGTCACTTTATAGACGGAAATACTACATTCAGACTTGAGATAAATAATATCAGGGTTTTAGAAAGATAGATTAACACGTTGGTACCAGATAGATTAAGTTAGTTATCCTAATCTGGACTAGTGTTTAAATATATTATTAATATTTAATATATTTTAGTTTTTTTTTTTAATAATGTCATGAAATTTTCAGCTTTCAATAAGAATTATGTTTGGTTGCTTAGTTCTTAGGCTTAGGATAGTTTACCTTATTGGCACGTGCAATCATATTCTTCTGAGCAATGACTAGCTTCTTCGGTGTTATATCAGAACCCAATTCCTGTCGAGTTATCATAATGCCATTCGCTGTCTGAAACATTAAATCAAACAGATCAATGTGATTTTTATTGTTAGATGTGATGAATAAAACCGTGGTCACAAAAAGCAATGTTTTATTTTATTTTATTTTATTTTTTATTTTATTTTTTTATTGCCCTTATAGGCAGACGAGCATACGGCCCACCTGATGGTGAGTGGTTACCGTCGCCCATGGACTTCAGCAATGCCAGGGGCAGAGCCAAGCCGCTGCCTACCGCAATTAAAAAAAGTATTGTCAAAGCTCACAGATATTGGTTGTATTGAATGTTTTTTTAGTTAGATGGCTGTACGAGTTCACGACCCACCTGGTGTTAAGTAATAACTGGAGCCCGTAGACATGAACAAAGTAAATGCCACCGCCTATCTTGAAACATGAGAGTCTCAGTTCTATATACAACGGCTGCCCGACCTTTTAAATGGGAAGCAGGAAATAGGCAGGGTGGTGGCAGCTACCTACTACTGGGTAGGCAGGCTCATGTAGGATCACAAAACACTTACACTACAAATAAATTAACTTACTAAAAGGATTTCATCGAAGTTTCGGAAGCCCTCTATAGTTTGAATGTTGGCAATTATAGCTATTTTCTTTCCTTTTACGCCCAAGAGGTCTTTGAGGTCCGCTATCGTATTTGGTGAATTGACAAAAGAAGCAACAATAATGTCGATCTGAAAATCATATTCGCAACGATCGATTTCACGGTGCTAATTCACACAATCCATCTTCCTCGGAGGTCAAACGTAAAGAAAATATTCTTCGCGAAAACGTCGCGGTCTAACGAAGAAAGATTGCCGTCCACGGAATAAATCTTGTCTTTCAATCCTTAACGTATTCTAACGAATGTAGGTAATAAAGAAATTTTATTTTGGTATTGATTTGAGCGTATTGTTTGGCATGAATCCGAGTATCTCACAGTACGCAGTCAAACCAAAGTCAGGTTCGAATAATTTTTTATCTTACTGATCATTTTTTTACACGATAACAAATATGTTTTATGTATTTACTTAGGTATTCGCGAGTCGTAAAACTAATTACAATTACTTTTATCAACAACTGTCTAACGTTTATTATAAAGCCGGTAAAATTGTTCGTTAGACCAACGGCCCGAATGTTATTGTTTATACCTATAAACGAGCGATTCTTGTATATTTACAATCTGAATCTCGAAAACGATTCCAACGATTTTCATAAAATGTAGTATACAGGGGATTTCGGGGGCGACAAATCGATCTAGCTACGATTTATTTTCAGAAAATGTTGTTATTCGTGTTTTTAATAATCAAATCTTCCCGACATCTATTGGCGAATAATAATACTATTTTTCTTGATTGAGGACAACTAACCGCTTTAAAGACACAACAAGATGGCGTTATCAAATGAAAAACCGAGCAAAACTCGGTCATCATCTAGTGTCCTTAGCGTGATTTAGGCGTCTGTCAAATCTTCAATTCAATTATAGCTACTGCTACACTCGGTTTCACTTCGCTACAACTAATTGAATACAGTCAAACCTGGGTAAGTGAGAACTGGATAAGTGAGAAAACTCTATAAGTGAGAGTAATAGCCAGGACCCGTCATTTTAAGCTCCCAAAACCTCTATTAGCGAGAAACAGAAACCTCTGTAAGAGAGAGTCGTTTTTCCCTCATGGACCTCCATAAGTGAGACAGCTACTTAACTATACCTCTATAAGCGACAGTCGAGCTCTATTTATTTATATTATTTAGAAGGAACAAATGAAAAAACAAATCTCAAATTGAACATCTGCTATTTTATAACTCATTCTTAACTTTCGTGGAACTTCCTACCATTGTTTTTGTATTGTTTTCTCGTCAATATTGAATATTCTATTTCGTGGAACTAAATAACGTTGTTATTTTATCGTATGCTTTTCGAATGGACACGTGTGCCTGTGTACCGTCCTGTTTGTCGAACTTACTCAGTTTATCGTTAATCAATTGCGAAGGAAAGTTCTGTTCTGCATCATGTCAAAACGGAAAATTAAAGTACTGTCATTAAGTGATAAACTTAAAATAGTTAATGCGTTTGAATCCGGAAAATCGCGAAATGAAGTTCAGAGGGTGCATTAAGGAGAAACTCGGGTTAGTGAGAAACCTCTATAAGCGAGAATAAGATTGTGCTCCCTTGAACTCTCGCTTATCCAGGTTTGACTGTATATTATATTTATACATATTGGCATAACATATAGTTCAACTGTTGTTACTACGTACTACGTGTAATATGCGTGAAATCTTTCTTAAAGTACCAACAATAAACTCTTGTTTTTTGTTCAATAAACGAAAAAAGAACCACAAATATCTATGTTCTATTTTAATTACATCAAACTAAAATGATACTAATTGCTAATATAAATACGTTCTGTATTTGAAACGTCTCCGAAAACAACTACAGACACTATAATATATTTATATTTAAGTCGAATTGTATACGTTATAGGCTTCGAAACGCATAAATTTGGCAGCAATCGGATCAATATCAAACCAAAAATCGGCCAGAAAAACTGGCTAATAATATTTTTTGCTTTTTTTATTGCTTAGAGGGGTGGACGAGTTCACAGCCCACCTGGTGTTAAGTGGTTACTGGAACCCGTAGACATCGATAACATAAATGCGCCACCCACCTTGAGATATAAGTTCTAAGATCTCAGTATAGTTACTACGTCTGTCCCACCCTTCAAACCGAAACGCATTGCTGCTTCACGGCAGAAATAGGAAATAGGTGGTACCTACCCGTGCGTACTCACAAGACGTCCTACCACCAGACTAAATCTTCATTTATATGTTGCTAAAATTGAGAATTTAATTTCATGGTACCTGTTGATGAATCAACATATCAATGTCGAGTTTGTCCTTCTCACTGAAGTTGGGCATTTCAAACACCACATTCGGCACGAACACATCCTTGTAGGAGCCCAAAATTCCACCTCTTTCAATCTTACACGTGACTGTAGAGGTCGATATGATTTCGACTTTTAGCATTATAGTCTCATTGTCAATTAATACTAGATCCCCTTTTGTTATTTGATCCGCGAAATACATAAAGTCAACATAGATGGCGTATGTCGAGCATCTGTCTTTGTATGTCTCGTCTGTAGTTAGTCTTATTACGTCACCTGTTTTTAATTCAACTGTTTCTCCATAGCTCTGAAAAAATAGGATTTTTTTATTGCTTAGACGGGTGGACGAACTCATAGCCCACCCGGTGTTAAGGGGTTACTGGAGCCCATAGACATCTACAACGTAAATGCCGCCACTCACCTTAAGATATGAGTTCTAAGGTCTCAGTATAGTTACAATTTTTTTTTTATTATTTCTTAGAAGGGTGGACGAGCTCACAGCCCACCTGGTGTTAAGTGGTTACTGGAGCCCATAGACATCTACGACGTAAATGCGCCACCCACCTTGAGATAAGTTCTAAGGTCTCAGTATAGTTACAACGGCTGCCCCATCCTTTAAGCCGAAACGCATTACTGCTTCACTGCAGAAATAGGCGGGGTGGTAGTATCTACCACGGAATAGAACCTTATTTATCTATTCTGTGGTATCTACCCGTGCGTACTGACAAGAGGTCCTACCACCAGTAATTGCACAAATTACAATTTTGCGGGCTTGATTTTTACTACGCGATGCTATTCCTTCAACGTGGAAGTCAATCGTGAACATTTGTTAAGTACGTATTTCATTAGAAAAATTGGTACCTGCCTGCGGGATTCGAACACCGTTGCATCGCTAGATACCAACGTCTCAGACGTTTTATCCTTTAGGCCACGACGACTTATTATACTTTATGAGAAGAAGAAGAAATATTTTATAAGCAGCCGTCGAGGCACAGAGAGAAGCAGCCTTTAAGTATTATCGATGATGAGTTGGCGCTTAGTGTACAACAGAGATCACACACGGTGAAACCTTAAAACACACAATTAATTTCAAATAAGGAATATAATTATTCTGAAGTAGAATAAAGCAAGTATCGATCACTGCGGTTTAACTTAAGCCCCAACAAATTTTTATCTGATTTTTAATGACAAAAGAAAAACAGTTTTCTTTAAAATGGACATCTGACGTCTTAATGGCATACGCGTTCTTATTTTAAGTAGAGGTCTCGCAGTAGTTGAAATTCGACTATATTAATTTGAATTGTAAGTTTGTACACTATTATGATTGTATTTTATACTTCTATCACAAATTTCGCCAAGACTACACTATAAAAAATATTAACAAAGACAAACAATATTTAATCTCAATTTGACAGCAAGCGTCAAGAACAAAAGTTTGACAATAAATAGTATGCATGCGTGTGTGCGTCAAATACATGGTATGTAGAGTGTGTAATGTTTTCTTTATTGATTTAATGTATCATTTATGCATTATTTAAAAAAAAAATTAGCATTGTGCATTTCTTCTCTACATTCTCTATAAGTGTGGAAAATTTCATACTCCTCCGTCCGCGCAATTTACGTAAAAAGGGATACAAAGCTTTTGCTTCACGTATTAATATATAGATTACTGAATGTTGATTATCGTAAAATATTATTATCAATTATATAATTATCTAAAACAAAATAGTGTTCAGCTACAAATGAAGTTATACTAACATCAGCTATACTGCCTGTTCTTATCTTTTTACCAGCCAATCTTGCAGCTATGGCTAGTGGATAATTCTTTCCCATGTTAACACTGAAATTCTTGGCTGCTTGCCTTAGTAGTTTGATCATTTCAATATGTTCCTCTCTCGTCCCGTAGGACATATTCAGCATTGCAATGTTCATTCCCGCGGACATCATTTTCTCTAATGTGTCAACATCACTTGTTGATTTACCTAATGATGTTCAATTTGAAAAATACGTATATTATACGTTATACCATAAGCTACGGCCGCTTAACAAATTATCACGATGGGGATGACAATAATGAAGATGCAATTATCAATACTAGTAGCCTCGCAGTAGTCGAGATTCGACTATAATTAATTGAAATTATAAGTTTAAACTTTATTATGGTTCTATTGTCGAATACTATTATATTTCGATAATATAATCACAGTATTCGCCAAAACTGCACTATAGATCAATAATATTAACGACAAACAATATTAATCTATTTTCAATTCGACCACAGACTTTAAACAATAAAAAAAGTTACCCAATTGACAGTAAACAAAGAGTATATTTTTATGTATGTGTTGTATCAAATATATGGTAGTGTGTGTAATGTTTTATTTATTGATTTAAAGTATCTTTTATACATTATTTAAAAAAAATATTAACATTGTGCAATACTTCTCTATATTTTCTATAAGTGTGAGAAATTTCATACTCCTCAGTCCGCGCAATTTTCGTAAAAAGGGGTACAAAGTTTTTGCTTCTCGTATTAATATATCAATATTAATATAAGACGCTTCTGTTTGGTACATATCTGACGATTTTTTTTTGGGGTAGATTTGTTGGTGAGATATAGCCAATCTATTGTTTTGTGGTTTTTGGAGCTAATCGAAACAACGAGATTACTGCCATCTTAATTTGAGTCACAAGGTCATAATTTCAATTGTACTTAAAACAACTGTGGTTCAAACTTCTTTTCCACAGAAATACGCTATCCATTCGGGCTTACAAGACGATCTACCCCAAGTTAATAATAAAAAAGTAGCAATTTTTCATAATCAAGACAAAGGTAAAGCTACATTTTCTATTTAGTTCAAAGTTGAAGCGATTGGGATCGCAGGTACATATACTCGGCATAATATTCTATATAAACGTTTAATGTAATTGAAAGAGAGAACACAGGCGAATTTTAGTTTTAATTTTTTGAAATCTGGTATCATAGAATTCGGTTTGGATTATGTGTTTAAATTACAGTTAGATTAATGTAAATACCCATATTAGCTATTATTCCAGTTAGGCGCTGACATCCCGCTGGTGCCTTGATATCTAAATTTAAGAGATGATCCAGAGGGGTAAAAGCTTGCGCTGCACTCAATTGCTGTCCAGGAATTTCCATGGCATTGTACTGAAAAAATAATTCCAAAAATATCCAATAATCTACCTTAAGTAGAACAAGTTAAGGTCTTTATAGCTTGTTTCTTAAAAGAACAAAGAATCCTGGTTGCTTTCCTTATGAGTCAATTCGCATTATTTATGAACAAGTATGTATGTTATAAGTTTTCAAACTTACTTTTTCTAGTTTCACATCGAACTCTGTAGGCCAAACCATTATTTTGGTTTACCGAATTAATTAAATAATACTACAAATATGTACATATATCCAGAAATATTTTTCTGTCATTCCATCAAATGACGTATATTAAGAATGTCATTCCCATAAAAAACGAATCGCGATGCCTGAAAACTTAATAGAAATAGAATTTAATTCGGCCAAGGTGTCTTTTTTTTAATTTATTTTTTATTGCTTAGATGTGTGGACGAGCTCACAGCCCACCTGGTGTTAAGTGGTTACTGGAGCCCATAGACATCTACAACGTAAATGCGCCACACACCTTGAGATATAGTTCTAAGGTCTCAGTATAGTCACAACGGCTGCCCCACCCTTCAAACCGAAACGCATTACTGCTTCACGGCAGAAATAGGCGGGGTGGTGGTACCTACCCGTGCGGACTCACAAGAGGTCCTACCACCAGTAATTACGCAAATTATAATTTTGCGGGTTTGATTTTTATTGCACGATGTTATTCCTTCACCGTGGAAGTCAATCGTGAACATTTGTTGAGTACGTATTTCATTAGAAAAATTGGTACCCGCCAGCGAGATTCGAACACCAGTGCATCGCTCGATACGAATGCACCGGACGTCTTATCCTTTAGGCCACGACGACTTCAGTGTTTTAAATTAAATAAAAAACAACAACACCATTACGTATATTAATCGCTAATTTATTGTTTCTATCCTAATTTTACGTAAATACAGGATCAACGTTGTTTTTGTTTAACAAAAGTCAGGTGAATTACAAAACCGGGAAAGGAATCCCGATCAGGGTAAGCTGAATGATAAACAAGCGACGCAGCTGTCGCTAACAACACCGACAGAAATAAATAAAGCCCACGAAAAATAAACAAAAACGAGTTTTATTTGTGGGAAAACCATTAGGGGATCACAACGACGTTGGCGAAAAAGATAAACGGAAAAATAGGGAAAGATTTCGTGCGGACGCACCAACGTAATATTGTTGAGTACCTGTGTGTGGTCTCTGGAGGTGATAGAGTTAACGCGTGATGTTAAATTTGATTTGTAAAATATTTCAGTGCCCTCGTAGCGTGTTATAACATTTTTCACGACTAGCCGTCCTCACGGATATACCCGTGCAAACCTTGAAAACATTTGGCTGTTATAAACGGGGATTATTACTTTGAATTATTGCCTTGTCTTAAGGTCATTACGTTTGTGTTTGTGAAGTAGACACGGTTATGTCTATATTTATACTATTTCTGGTATTCGAAATACTGAAAGGTGGCACGAATGTTCAGATAAATACAGGAGTGTATAGTTAAATTGCGTTAACGATAGATAGTAGTAGATTTAAAGTACACTAAATTAATATTATGCTTTAAATGAACTTTTTGTAAAATCATATATTTTTACGATTATAATTTGGCTTATTGCTCATTAAATTAGTCATTGTAATTTTTTTTTGTATTCATTTTCTTGAATTTATTCAGTTAAATCTAAAAGTGGCTTATATTAATATGGTCGTACGACAAATGAAAATGAACACAAAGAAAACCAACCCTAAATTGCTATAGCATGTTCCAGCCCAAAGAGGAAGAAATGCATAATTTAACTAAGGCTTTTAAAACTATAAACATTATTACATAGCGACGCTTGAAAGGCAAACGTGACTAAGCGACAATGCGTGAACTTTACAGTAGACTAATTTAAAGTGGAAATACCTGAAAAAAATCTATTTTAACGAATCTAGCTGTAGGATTGAAATGATTTTAATAGACCTAGAAATATATATTTTTTTGCGCATCGAATATGGTTATTGCCTATCATTTATGTACAAAGCAGCTATTGTCGCTTAGTCACGTCTGCCTTTCAAGCGTCGATAGATTATTAACTGCTAGCTTGCCGGTTGCAGCTTTGTCTATTTGGACTATAGTTTAAAAGACTGTATTTTTAGTTGGCTGTACCTTCTATCATTTATTTATTTATTCAAGAATAAGACGTTCCTCTATATATTAGGTTAGAAATTTTTCGAAATTAAATTACCTCAGTGAGAGTATGTTGAGAATTAGTCATATATTTTTTTATGTGCATACCAATGTAAGGTTTTTTTTATTGCCCTTGTAGGCAGACGAGCATACGGCCCACCTGATGGTAAGTGGTCACCGTCGCCCATGGACTTCAGCAATGCCAGAAGCAGAGCCAAGCCGCTGCGTACCGTAAATCAATCAATAAATAAAGGTATCAGTGAATTCAGAGAACATCCTTTTTTGTTATGTTGACTATTTTAAAGATGTCTTTGATAAATGTATTCGTAACATTAGTTTTTGGATACAAAAATGTAAACTAATTTAGTTTCCGTGCTTTGTTACATCAGTCCCAATTTGCCTTCACAGTCTCGGGGGGTTCACAATCTATAAAATCCTCGTCGGTTTGATGTAAACCCTTTGTGCTCCCAAACTAACAGAACGGTCTCCCGAGACATCAGCCGGCGCGATGAAACCACTCGCGTCTTGATGCCCGAATGTGTAACGGGAAAATGTTTTATATCACATTCTTATTCTTTGCTTTTATGAGACTAGGTCTTTATTAAAAGTAATTTAACGATTTTTAAGCTATTGCATAGCTTTTATCGCGGGTCTTGAGCGCGGCTTACTGTAATCATGAAATTCCGTAACGAAAAAACCTTCCACCCCTCACTCCGCCTACCATGTAGCTCGCGTTCAACACATTCACACGTTGCGCTTGTGTAGTGTTTGTGAATAAGCACGTGGCGTGACGTCACACTGCATGCGCATCATGAAAAGTCTGCCCATCTTTCTCTCGCGAGGTTTAGCTTATGAGTGTGAAGAGGACAGTTAAGATTTTGCTTTTGTTAATGTTTAATATAGCGCGGTCTTGTTTTATTATTGTTTTAATATTAAATTATCATTGTCTAATTATAATTGCATAAGTTGATAAAAAATGCTATGCAATAGCTTTACCGCGGCAGTTCCCAGGTTTTTTTTTTATTTCTTGTATTAATTTCGACGTTTCTAATTAATACATGACAGTTTTTATCATCACAGATGCGTATTGATTTTAATATATTTTAATTTTTGGTGTTACATATTAAATGAATTATCTGATTATTGGAGAAGAGTAGTTCTTGAGTTTCTTGCCGATTCTGGGCTAGTTCTGAAAACGCTTGTGTAAATAAATGAAAACTTTTATTATTATTTTAAGTTGGTAAGGCTTCACTTGAGGCTTAGAGAACCGTCGTAACAATTAATAAATGCATGATCCCAGGTATATGTTGTTGTTTTGTTTATTTCGATGTTAAATATTTTTAAATCAATGTGTCTTCATGTACTAATTTCGTTTATAAAAGATATAGGATCAGGATTTTTTGAATCTGGAGCATTTATTTATTTAACTAAATCACATAAATACAGCGGTAACATAAACTATTTATTAAACTAGAGGTCATTAGCACCATTATTATCTAGTATTAGTAGAAATGTACAGAATAGGCATCTAAGGATATGCCGTTGATTGTAAATACATGGAGAAAATAAAAAATAAATGTAATATTGTAAAAAAAAAATTAAAGCTTCTTTAAGCTCACAAGCATACACCCCACTTGATGGTAAGTGGTTGCCGTCGCTCATGGACGCCAGCAACAGCAGGGGCAGAGTCAATCCGCTGCCTACCGTGAGTCTGTATTTTTCCGTCTCATGTATTTTTCAGTCTCATGCGTGTTTTATTCTTTCAAACGTTGTTTATGCGAATTGAGATGAAACATTGGGCAGTCGATGTTGTCAATTCGTGGAATGTTTCTGATGTTTGTTAAGTTTTCAATTATGTCCAATTCTAAGAATACTTTTTATCTGGACTTAAAAAATAAATACAATAAGAACAAAACGTAAAGTATAACTTTTTATTAATACATTAAGCATTCTTAAAAGCTACGATAATATAAGAATTAAATTGCTTCATAGTCATCACATCTGAAATTTAAATTGTAAATAAAGTATTTAACATTTTGTATGTCGTCATTCTATCTAATTCTACTACAGATCCATTCATCATTATCATGTTTTCTCCTTCCATACTCTTCTATCATATACCATTTCTTCGCTCACTCCCCTCTTACCCATATCGTCTTTCACGCAATTCATCCATTTCTTCTTAGGTCTACCTCTTCCTCTATATCCTTCCACATTCATAGTTAACATTTTCTTACCAACCTCATTTTCATCTCGTCTCCTCACATGTCTATACCATCCTCAGCTTCTGTGTCACAGGTGCCACTTTCAGACTTCTTCAAACATATTCATTCCGTATTCTATCCATTCTCGTTACTCCACACATCTATCGCAACATTCGCATCTCTACTGCATGCAATCGCCTTTCATTATAACACAATTTTATTTAATACTCCTTGCTGCGACAATAAGACGATAAATTGGATTCCGATAGCACAATTTACTTACTCGACCATTGTTTTTTTATAAATGTTGACGCTGCTAACTTTGATGACGTCACAGAATGAGCTCACATCCGAATACTTCTGTAATATTATGTAAATGTCCTTAAAACGGAGCCACCCTTTCTTAACAGCGTGTTCTAATGCGAAATTCGTTCTTCTTTCCATTTCAATTGACCAGTTCGTATGGGGTGTATCTGAAAAAAAAAGATGTGTGTATGACGTATGTGCAAGTCACACACGGTAGAAGTGAAACTTATAAAATAGGTATATAAATAATCGCAAGGGTCAACCACTCCGCAGTGCAATAGACATGTGTAAGTAATGCGAGTGATATTACTCGGGTAATATTACTCTACGATGTAATGCAACATCACACATTACGCGAAGGAAACAAACATCACACTATCACCCAACATGTTTCTTTCTTTGTCGTGTAATGTTGCTTAATACATGAACGGAACCGAGCGAGCGAGACAGACCGATCGACGCAAAATAAATGAGCAAGCGACACGGAATTATTCCTAGTGATTTTGAACCGTATGTCCTGGCCGCTAGGTACATTTTTATACCTATGGTACGTCTGAATTTTAATATAGGTATTTGTGTTTATATTTTTCATGCGGCCAGCCGGTAGCTCCCCGCAAGTACTTACTTAATTTTTTATTCGCAACTTTTGTAAAATCGCTAGTCGCTCGTAATTGTTTAGTAATATTTCATATTAATTTTTGTGTTTGATTTGAATTACTTAAGCACTTGTTTGAAGATAGTTTTATTATTTGTTTTAATGCGTGTTTAATAAGTGAAAGAAATAACGGCGTCTAAATGAAAGTACAGTCCTCCTTGGATGCACTTTGAGGATATCGCGCCGAAACAATGCATCTACTGCTCTCGTATATTAACATTATTGTCGAGCTCAATTTGCAGTCTAAGTCGCCATATGAAATCCGTTCATCCCACAATAAATTATATTAAGTAAAAAATAAAATTATTATATTATTAAGTAAGTCAATCTGTCAAGTAATATAACAGTGTATTACAATACAAAGTTCATACTTTGTATTGTAATACACTACTGTAATGACACACCCGAATCATTACCTAAGTGATGTGTTTATACACATCACTTAGGTAATGATTGATGAAAACATTACACATCACTCTTAACATTACTCGGTGCGTTCAATAGATACTGTGACGACGAATACATTGTATCTATACACCCGAATCATTACCTAAGTGATGTGTATCAACACATCACTTAGGTAATGATTCGGGTGTATAGATACAATGTATTCGTCGTCACAGTATCTATTGAACGCACCGAGTAATGTTAAGAGTGATGTGTAATGTTTTCGAGTAATATCACCTGTCTGTAAAAGTGATGTCATATCACATTACATTGGGAAGTGATGTTTTGGGCAAGTCTACAGTGCAATGGAGCAGTCGCACCCTGAGGGAACCGCCTGCATGATCACGGTATCCCGACGCCAGGTAGGTATGATTTAGCAAGAGAAATACGACAACGTCTATCAACTGTGTAACATATCGTCACCGCGATTCAGAAATTGTTGAATTTACGTGCAGCGACATCTGTTCATAACAAACTAAATAGAAATAAAATAAACATGGCGCGTAGCGGAATAAATTAAGATGGCGCGTAACTGAAAAACGTTACATACGTTTTTTCCTCCCAACGTAGATATAGAAGTTTCACTTCAAAATTTAAAAAAAAATCGCATTATCTGAGTTTGAATAATCTTAATCTTCACCTATTCTTATAGGACATTTATATTTCTGAGTATATCTGATCGAAAGTGAGTGAGCTGATATACATATTAGTGATAATGAATGGTACATAATACTACAGTGTGCTTAGTGCGTGTTTATTAGCTTCTCGGAACTTGTATGGAGTTGGAATAGCTTCCCTTCGTTTGCCGCTAGGGGCGCTGTTCCAACTCCATACAAATTTGAGTTAACTTTCACGCGATCGAGAAGTTAAAAAACTCGTACTAAGCACACAGATAATATATGTAATTTTAATTGTGAGGTAATATGAATATAATCATGGTGAATACTGTAAATTTTTTCATTTACACGGCGAAACAATATTTTAATCTGTGGAATGGTGGTGGCATCAGGTGACAAGAAAAATTACAATAAAATCTTATAATTAAAATTACTTTTGGCATTAGTAGGCGTAATGTTCAAATGTTAACGAATGACAACGGTAAAGTTGTTGATACCATGGAAATTGTCTTAATGCCATTATATTATTTACAAAGTTTCGAATACTATAGTTTTCGTGGCCACGAACATGGACAATAATAAACACAGTTAAAAGTTGCAAAAACTGAAGAAAACACTAGTAAAAATCATTCAATATAAATAAAATATTCCGGTACTACCGCAATCATTTTCCTGAAAGCACGAATAAATTAGATTTGCAGAAAAGGACAAATCAGTCGACAGTGAAATTTGTATCAGAAACGTAAATATTTTCACCGAACTGATAGTATATGTACATTCCATTACTCTAATAATATTGATTTGTAAATATTATGAAGATAAATTCCTGGGTGTTTTTATTCATCTTGTATTATTGATTCATAATCTGTAGATATCACTACATAGTATAAAACAAAGTCGCTTTCTCTGTCCCTATACCTGTCTGTCTCTATGTATGCTTAAATCTTTAAAACTACGCAACAGATTTTGATGCGGTTTTTTTTAATAGATAGATTGAATGAAGAGGAAGGTTTATATGTATAATAACATCCATTACATAGTGGAGAAATCAATAATCAATTACAGTGTCCGAAGCGAAGCGAGGGCGGGTCGCTAGTATAAGTATAATTTTATTTAAGATTTTTGTGGATTGAAGACGATTTTTCAGTTTCAAGTATAATAATTTCGGATTAACACGGAACAAGACAACTAAGATAATTTATGATATTCATATTTCTTTGTATTTTGAAGGAACTAAACCTGTCTAAGCCTGTCTGTGATAAGTATTCTTTATTTTTACCATTCAAATTGTTCCTATTTTGTCGTGATTCTTTTATATTCATAATTAAATAAATAAATGAAAAATGTTACGCGAGAGCAATATAGTTTCTTTTTAAATTACATTTTTTTTTAACACAACTAAAAGCATTATCAAGACGAATTTGGGTTATTTTATAAAATTAAAAGAAATAGTTTAAAAATTTATAATCCATTTTTACCATTATACATTAGTGAGACCACACAGCGATAGGTGGACAATAAGCGTATTGTACTCGTTTTATTACTGACAGTGATAACGACACAGTTAGGTCGTATCCAAAGCAGAGACTTGGCCGTCCTTCCAGAGACCGTCGGCAATATTATAGCACCGGCGTTGGTGTGATTAGCTAGAGCGACACAAGCCAATGCGGCTGCTTCTGCTGCATTTGTTGGAATTTTTAACTGTAGAGAAACGTCTGTTTGATAATTTTTAACTCTGCATTCATCAGCTTATAGTTGGTACCTTATCCAAATGTATCGACTTTTTTTATAGCTTAAGTGGGTAGACAAGCTTACAGCCCACCTGGTGTTAAGTGATTACTGGAGCCCACGTAAATGCCGCCGCCCACCTTGAGATATAAGTTCTAAGGTCTCAGTATAGTTACAACGGCCACCCCACCCTTCAAACCGAAACGAATTACTGCTTCACCGCAGAAATAGGCGGGGTTGTGGTATCTATCTACCCGTGCGGACTCACAAGAGGTTCTATCACCAGTAATTACGCAAATTATAATTATGCGGGTTTGGTTTTAATTACACGATGTTCCGTGGAAGTCAATCGTGAACATTTATTGAGTACGTATTTCATTAGAAAAATTGGTACCCGCCAGCGAGATTCGAACACCAGTGCATCGCTCGATACGAATGCACCGGACGTCTTATCCTTTAGGCCACGACGACTTCGACGACTCTGTTAAATGGCGTGTTATTGTTACATTTTAGCTTAGCAGTCACAAATTATACCTTAGCTGACCCGGCAGACTTCGTAGTGCCTCAATCGATAAATAAAAGACCTAAACTTTTGTATAAAATAAACTTAAAACAAACAGAAGGAATCCGTCCGACGGGGGACACATTAAAGGGAAAACAAAATTGTTATTTTTATTTCATTCCGATATATTATCTATCTTTTAAACCTTCTCTGGACCTACACAAATAATTCAAGACTAAAATTAACCAAATCGGTCCAGCCGTTCTCGAGTTTTAGCGAGACTAACGAACAGCAATTCATTTTTATATATAGATATAGATTGTCGTACTTCAAAATAAGAACCTTCAAACGAACGAACCTCTTCCAGCATTCTCCAAAATTCACTGCGTACATTAACAAGGGGTTCCACAGAACGACAAAGATCACTCAATGAGTTAACCACATAGAGTAGGGTGTCTGCATTGTCGCATTCTCTCAGAACGAAGCCAACCACGCCGTCCAGAACAGCGTTTGTTACGTCAGATACATCATGATCGCACAGCTTACCGTTTGTGAGCGCTTGGCGAAATATCCCACCAGATATATAGAATGGTTTACCTACCTTCAAACATACATAAATATATATTAACAAAACAAAACGTACGTAAAACGTATTTACAAAATGTATATTTACAAAAACATTTCGCTGGAATAGGTCACAAAGAAATCGAATATAAATTAAGAAGTCATATATGTTTTAAATAATTAATTCAATCTAGTTCTTTGTAAGAATTGAATGAAATGAGCTCGAAGGAATATTTTTATTAGAATGTTTCCATAAATTTAAATTTTCATATCATATTAAATTTGAAATCAATTTCTTTTGAACACATATATAAATTTTATTCCTTCATCGAATTTGAGAATTGAAGGGTGAATTCTGTCGTTTATTATTCATTAATATAATGGAACAGTTTATTGATTTTTCCCAAAAATACTAAAGTAATCATAAAAGCAATGATTTTCATGACGATAAGATTTTAAATATTACTTATTATTACTTCTACTTAAATATAACTCGAGTCCCTACTGCACTTTTTTTTGTTACGAAAGAATGAATTATTTATATCTGTTTTAAGGGCTGGATGTATCTGAAATTTCGCATGTCTGCGAAAAAACGTAATCGTCCATACATTCATGGTGTGGTGGTGGTTTAGGTGGATAAAGTTAACCGCTTAACTACCGTATAACTTTAAGTTGGCTCAAAATAATTAAAACAATATTTACAACTTTACAGCTAGCCAGTGTCAAGATGACGCATCTGTTGTTTAAAATGCTATGCTTTTAATTGAATTAATTAATTAATGGGACCTTAAGACATTTCGCTCCTACAAATTTTTGTATTTGATTCATTTTGTAACTCAAAGCTCCAGTCAATTCATAAGCCAAATATTCCCGTGACAACATTATTCCGTCTGATTCCTGAATAAGAAATTAATATATAATTTAATTATAATTTGTTCATTTATTTGTACGCTAGGTGTTGTAACGTATTGTAGTATTCACATTGTATAGTATTTTAGCCTTCCGGCTTGAAGAGTGAGACCGCCGTTGTACAATAGGACTAGGACTTACAGTGGGTCGTGGCATTTACACTGCTGATGTCTATGGGCTCCGATAACTATCAACACCAGGGCGATGAGATCGTTCACTCATTTTAGTAGGCAGCGGCTTGGTTGTGTCCTTGCCATTGCTGACGTCCATGGGCGACGTTAACCACTCACCATCAGGTGGGCCGGATGCTCGTCTGCCTAAAAGGGCAAATAAAAAAGTATTAAGCAAAAAAAAAATCGGGAATTTATAAAGTAAATTAGCTACAGTCTTTTTTTATTTTATTTTTTGACGTGACAATGTCTTATAATTCGATGGAGCCGGCTGCACGCACGAAAAAACATGACTCATGCGGCGTTACTTCGTATTTTCTTATGATGTTGTCACGTTCAACTATTGTTAGTAAACCGACTTTATAGAGAACATATTTATTTTATTTCTTAATATGGGTGGACGAGCTCACAGTCCATCTGGGCTTAGAGCTAAGAACGCCTCGATACGCGCCTACGACAGGTATCCTACCGCGGAAAATCGTATTCGAATGCGTGCCCTACAACGCGACGTAAAGTCTCGCATCGCCGAAGTCCGAGATGCCAGATGGTCTGATTTCTTAGAAAGACTCGCGCCCTCCCAAAGGTCTTACTACCGCTTAGCTCGTACTCTCAAATCGGATACGGNGGGTCGCGATTCCGATCCGGTAGTAGATTCATTCGCGAAACAATTGCTCTTGAGTTGTTAGGTCTCCTTCGGAGGCGCTCGGGCAGTTGTTAGCAAATCTACCCCTCTTGGCTGAGCCTTTGCTCGCCCACCTGTCCTGGTGAAACTGGAAAGGCCTCCGGGCCACCAGTAATCCTTCAAGCATAAAAAAAAAAAAAAAAAAAAAAAAGTCCATCTGGGGTTAAGTGGTTACTGGAGCCCATATACATCTACAATGTAAATGCGCCACCTACCTTGAGATATAAGGTCTTAGATCTCAGTATAGTTACAACGGCTGCCCCGCCCTTCAAACCGAAATGCATTACTACTTCACGGCAGAAATTGGCAGGACGGTGGTACGTACCTACACGCGCGGGCTCACAAGAGGTCCTACCACCAGTAATTACGTAAATTATAATTTTGCGGGTTTTATTTTTATTACACGATGTCATTCCTTTACCGTGGAAGTCAATCGTGAACATTTGTTGAGTACGTAATTCATTAGAAAAATTAGTACCCGCTTGGGATTCGAACACCGGTGCATTGCTCAATACGAATGCACCGGATGTCTTATTCCTTAGGCCACGACGACTTATAACGACTAATTTGGCAACTGTATGATAAATGCAATAATATTAGTACGTAGAGAATTTCGATTTGCTTGTGAGCTCTTTGATTGTGAACTCATAAAGCTTAAAGGAAAAATTAATGAATATTTATAGGACTTTACCCGTATGAGGCCATCGATGTTCTCCAGACCTTCCCTGGTACAAATTCCAGCTATAAGAATAGGTTTCTTTATTTTGCATCCAATAAACTCTTTTATTTTCTTGATAGAATCCGCGTGTCGGGAATAATTCACTATGATCATATCCACCTAGTTAATAATGTTTCGTGAAATTACATTAATGAAATAAAATCAAATGTAGATAGAAAAAAATTAAATAAAAATAATAAAATTACAATTGAAAAGCAACAGCAATTGAAAATAACGACATCAATTTGTTTAGTTCAATTAGACCTCCAATATAACTTAGCCTATTGAGGTTTTTTTAATTCCAGTATGCAAAACATCAAAGTTTTCAAGCCTCGAAGATAAAATATTGCTCATAACGCAGAGCTTGTGGTTTTTCGATACATACGACTGTTCACAACTAGTTCTCGGATATTCTCAGTGGGTCGCGTTTCCGATCCGTTGGTAGATTCTGCGAAGCATTGCTTTTGCTAGGACCAGTGGTTTGAGCCCCGTGAGCTTACCTACACGTCGAGGAGAAGCTGATATAGCCCCTCAAGGCTATCAGCATAGGTAGGAAAAAAAATAGTTCTATGTAATAAAAACGATAAGTTTAACCGAATACCTGATATTCCATAGCGAATTGTACAATACGCAAGTCCTTTTGGGTTACATACGGCTGAGTATGTTGGCCACCTCTAATACATACTTGACACAAATTTCCCAATTTCCCGCTTTTGGTTACAATGCACTTCATTGACTTTTCATTAAGGACCATTTTACATTGTAATATTATTTCGTCTTGATCTATAGATATTTCCGTATCGACATTAACGTCTGTCGTTAAGTATGGATTGTCAACGAAAATATATTGGTTTGTGCAAGCGTTGTAATCTTCGACATCGCAAGTCAATGTAACGGTCGCACCTTCCTTTAAATGTAAGTATTCTTGTTGCTGAAAATAAAATTCGATCCATGAGAAAATATAGTTTTTTTTCTCGAAGAAAAAGTTCACTCTCTCGAAGTAAAACTTTAATTTTTTATTTTAACACCAACCCTACGCATTACTTGGTGTGCAAACTTATAAAATGGAACTTTAATGGCGGACATATTATATTGAAAAAAGAACTCTTGTATGTCTATTGTTTTTTTGTAAATGTGAACCAATTTAAGAAAAAAAATAACGAATTTTTTAAATATTGTTTTGCAATAGTTAATTCAGAATGACATAGCTTTTCAAAGTGATTTTCAAATAGTCAATGGCATTAAGACAGCGTAGACATTATTTCCTATCAATATCAATGTTACCCGTTCATTTATTTTTTTATGATCTGTGTATAATATCTCTGAAACCACGTTCGTATTGTTTTAAAACACTGTCTGTGTCTTAACGCTATTCAAGTCATTACTGCCTTCATGCTTTAAGTGAGAAGAGTGAGGAGAAAAGTGTTTTGAGGTTATCAATATAAAATCTTTAAAAAAACTGATATTTGAGTCGTACAAAAAGTACATTAAAGTATATAAAAAGTTAAGCTAAAGTATCTATTTGAATAAAGCTATTGATGACAACATTTGAGGACAAATAAAGGTGAAACATATTTGATTAAAAATCTTGAGACTATTTCTCAATTTGAAAAATTGATTTTCTCTTGCCTATTCCTCGCAGTAGATTAATAAAAGAAATTAAACGACAAAGGTCAATGCCCATAACTCTAATTACAATTTGTTTTGGAACTCATTCTTGATTAGATCAAGTGGTGGTGAACAACAACCTACAACTATTCACATATTGAATTTATTGAACGCAAATTACATTTTGAAGTATCCCAGTTTTCATGATACATGTTTTCAACTCCACAGCGGTGGCGACAGGCCAATCTGAAGTCCCATGTTTTTGTGATAACATTTTTGCAGCTTTATCAACTTTTGCTAGAAGTTGAATCTTATCTTCTTTAGTAATGTGCGACATTTTAAATCTGATCAAATTTATTCCGGCTTCCATTAGCTTTTGTATGTCAACTAATGTGGTATTGGGATTGGCTGTTGGAAGAGTGGGGAGAAAAAAGATAATTAACGAAAATGTTAAAAGGACATTTCGAGAAATAACTATTAAAACATGAACTATGTTTTCATAAGTGTTTTAATTAAATAATCTAATTAGTGTAGATAATATCTATCTGATTCTATTCACTGATATAAATTTATTATTATCATTATAAGGTTATTGAAGCGCCACTACACCCCAATGCAAGCAAGACAAGAAGTAAATTTTTCGTTTTCTTTTGGCTAGTTAGCTATAGCTATTGCTAACTAGTTACCGATGCCCACGGACATCTGAAATGCTAGGGTATTATGGCCGCTTGAATTCATTTCAATATTGTTAGGTAGTGTATCTGATACAATCCAAACAGACATCAATTCTGAGGTTCGCGGTAAAAATGAATTGAAATGGATCATACTATTCAATTTGCGGTCATCCTATCGCTCCATGCAGCAACATTTCATAGAATCTATTTTTTTTCGCCAACATACTCCAATTAAAAAAAGGCATAATTGGTGAAAACGAAATAAAGAGTAACGCGAATTTCAACCTTATTCCAACTTCGTTTCAGAGCATTTGTCGTCGTCGTGGCCTAAAGGATAAGACGTCCGATGCATTCGTGTTGAGCGATGCACCGGTGTTCGAATCTCAGGCGGGTACCAATTTTTCTAATGAAATACGTACTCAACAAATGTTCACGATTGACTTCCACGGTGAAGGAATAACATCGTGTAATAAAAATCAAACCCACAAAATTATAATACGCGTAATTACTGGTGGTAGGACCTCTTGTGAATCCGCGCGGGTAGGTACCACCACCCTGCCTATTTCTGTCGTGAAGCAGTAATGCGTTTCGGTTTGAAGGGTGGGGCAGCCGTTGTAACTATACTGAGACCTTAGAGCTTATAATATCTCAAGGTGGGTGGCGCATTTACGTTGTAGATGTCTATGGGCTCTAGTAACCACTTAACACCAGGTGGGTTGTGAGCTCGTCCACCCATCTGAGCAATAAAAAAAAAACAATTTGAAATGCAGACAAAAGTTACACGGGGTGTAAATATTTCTCATTTCAAATAAACAGCGCTAATAACTCACACCTTCACCTTTACTCGTAATCCTGCTGCCGAGAATGCGAATGCGGAATAAATTAAAATACTCACACAAAGTAACAAAAATTGGACTTCTTCGATGTTCAAAGGGGGAGCGGAATATAACTTCCGTTTTGCTGAAATCAACGTCTCGAAATGAAACCGATTCCGCTGGATTTTCCATTTCCTGATAACTGTAGTTCTCTGTGTGAGCTTTTTTAAGCAAAATATCCAGTGTGGATATAGTTATGACATTTATTCTATTTATAATATTTGATCTGTCACCTATATCGTCAAGTTGACGTCCAAAGAGCCGATTAAGAATATCAAAAAGAATCAATTTTTCATCGAAAGTGACAATGAGGCTCAAAATTCCTTAGATTCTGTTTATTAAGCAACGCAAGGCATAACTTAAGGCGTTCGTCGCGCTGGTAATCGTTCAGCTTATACGGCACCTACTTATCAAGTTTTTTTACTTGGCCAATATGAGGCAAATGGACTAATATTGTTTTGATGCTGACTTTGAAAGCTGCTGTTAACTTAACGGTAGAATTAGTATCGTCGGCTTCCACTATCACCTTTAGTTCGTCGTTGTTGACTTTAGTTTTCGAGCGAAAACAGGGTTAATTTTTTATATTAAAATTTCCATGTTGGAAGTTTTCAGACCACGTTATTTGTGGGTGGTCGTGCGTTTGTTTGTAGTGAGTGTTCTCTCCGTACACGTCATTAATATTGGGAGCCGTTTTAGTGGAATTTCTATCGTAACGTTCCGTCATATTAAATAATTACTCGCATTTTTATCATGTCCAAATTTATGAAAAAGATACAAATACAGTGAACAAAAAAATTTGAATTTAAAAATTAAATGACCATTTTTGTAAAGTAAAATTCCTTCGAATTAAGATTTTATGGCCCACCATATATAAATTACTTTCCAAATGGCCAGTATTGTAAAACGGCAACTTCAACTTCATACGTATTATTAATTAGGTATTAATTAAATCTAATGTTGAAGATAACAGTATTCGATGAAATAGTAAAATTATGTTAGAAATTAGAGACTCAGTTCAGACTAAATTCAGTATATTAAAATGTACATAACAAAACAGTCTTGCACTAATCATAAAAGAAATTAATTAGGTAAACCTATTAATAAATGGAAATAAATAAACTATACCATTACAAAATAATTAAGAAATTACTAGAAAAACTTTGTAAAATACATCAAAAAATAAAACATAGAAATTATGTCGGTGGCTTTTGTACTGAACACAAACGATCTCCAAAATTAGTGACAATTGTTTTAGTGCCGTTCCGTAAGAAGGATTAGTCTTAAATCATTTGTGAAAATGATGAGCAGCATGGTCAATGATGAGTCAGGTGAAATTTGATCCTAAAAATGAAAATAATTTTATTAAATAATATAAGTAGTAGAGAGTTTGTTTTCCATAAGATATATAGTGGGATTCTTCGTTCTCTTGGTTTTATGGTTTTTTTTTAAGTGAAAACTTCTTTAGAATCGTTGTGATTTCGCAACGGAAAAAACGACAGGTAAGAGACACAAATACAAAAATGTGTGGGATGAAGCCAGCAAAGAATGAGACAGAAATATACATACTATTTAATACAGCGCCATCTGTGAGATTTTTTAATACTAACGTGTGTATGAAAGCTCTTGTAATGAATTTTAATTAAGGATTATACGTGAAATTAAAATATCAATTCACAGAGGGCGCTACCTTACAATTATTTACTAATGACAAAATTTTACATATACTTAAGACGTTTAAGATAATTGTATTTTAATTTTGGAAGGTTTCACTTCTACCACGTGTGAATTGCACACATTTTGTTTTTTTTTTTTATTGCCTTTGTAGGCAGACGGGCATACGGCCCACCTGATGGTGAGTGGTTACCGTCGCCCATGGACTTCAGCAATGCCAGGGGCAGAGCCAAGCCGCTGCCCCTGGTTACCGAAGCTTGTAGACACCACAAAGTAAATACCGCTGCTGACTCCGAGACATAAAGTATTATAGTATATTTTAAATCGATAGTCCTAATCAACAAAAGGCAGAAATAGGTAGGTCCATAATAGTAGTAGTATTGACTTCGAAGGCTTTCACATTGACTTGTATCTACTTCAAAATCATTTTTGCTGGTTTGTTTTTGAGCCGAAGCTCTGATGGCACTAAAGCTAATCTTCCTGGCAGTAACGTTTCAACGAACGAGTATATTTAAATTATTTTGCAATAATTATGATGGGCATTACAAACAAAAGTTACCTATGTTTCTCTGTCTCCTCAGTGACTACTTTCCACAGACTAATATTATCACAAAACGAGCTGGTTGGAGTGGACTTCTTTAAGCAAATGTAAGTACAGCCGTACTTGAGGAGATCGTGTTTGATACCGAACCTCACAGCGAATTGGACCCGAGCGCTCATTTCGTCGTACCAATCAGATAAAGGCTTATCTACGAATGAGAAAATTATTTTGAGATGATTGAAAAGATATTTAATTTATATTGGGTAACAAGAGTAAAATAAGAATCCATCTTTATTCAACCATTTTTTTTACCTATGCTGATAGCCTTGAGAGGCTATTTCAGCTTCACCCTAACGTTTGTAGGTGAGCTCACGGGGCTCAAACCGGAGAGTTGCTAACACTGACCCTAGCTAGAGCAGTGCTTCGCAGAATCTACCACCGGATCGGAAACGCGACCCACTGAGAAGATCCGGCGAGAAACTCAGTGGGCTGTGTTAATTCGCTCGTCGAGCCCTTCTTCGCAAGCGATGGGTTCGACGAGGACGGTGAATCAACCATATTATTATTTATCTACTTTTTTTTTTAAATAGCTATCTATAGCTACGTTCTACCTTTTTAACATTGTCTTTAACATTATTTTGTAGCATTTTGATGGAATAATTACGTCTCAGTTTCAATGAAGTAAACGTTTTTCGGGTTTGCTTTTCATTGCCATAAACTTGACATGCAAGAATCTCATTGTGAATGGGCATATCGTCATAAGTATACATAATATTTGATGATGATGATGCATCACAACAAAACTTACTGTCATATATAATAGCAACGATTCCTCTGTACAATTGGAGTTGTCTAGCTATAACTGGATTGGTACTGACAGTTAGTATGATTGCTTGAGGAGCTACCCGGGACAGATGCACTGCCGTTCTCCCAGTTACAGTCGGTATTATAACTACTAGTGACTGAGTTTGTTGGGCCATTAATGCACATGCTAGTATAGAAGCTTCGGCTGCGTTAACAGGTATTTTGAACTAAAAAAAGTAATTAACTCAACAGAAAATTGCCGCTGTTGTTTAGTTTTATTAATTTTAAGTTTTAAGCTATTGCATAGTTTTTATTGAGGGCTTTCAGCGCGGCGACCGAATCAATAAATTCAATAACGAAAATAAAACCTAACACCTCTCACTCCGCTTACCATGTAGCTCGCGTTCAATACATTCACACGTTGCGCTTGTGTAGTGTTTGTGAATAAGCAGCGTGACATCGCACTGTATGCGCATCATGAAAAGTCTGCCCATCTCTCTCTCGCACGGTCTATCTTATGAGTGTGGAGGGGACAGTTAATGTTTTGCTTTTGCTAATGTTTATAAATATAGCGTGGTCTTATTTTATTATTGTTTTAATATTAACTTATTATTGTCTAATTAGAATTGCATAAGTTGATAAAAAATGCTATGCAACAGCTTTACCGCGGCAGTCCCCGAGTGCCACATGTGTTTTTATTTATTGCATAGATGGGTGGATGAGCTCAAAGCCCACCTGGTGTTAAGTGGTTACCGGAGCCCATACACATCTATAACGTAAACGCGGCAAACCACCTTGAGATATAAGTTCTAAGGTCTCAATATAGTTTCAATTGTAATTGGAATTAGTTGAAAAATCAATTGGTGAACACGTAAACTTACGGATGTGCTAAGTATTTATTTGTTCTCCGCAGTTGTCATTTGTAATGTAACCATTTCTTTTAATATTATAAGAATCAAGACTACAAGATTTTATAAATTAAAAGCCTTAAAATAATAATAAAGGAGTTTCTACCAACTTCGTTTGACAATCTCCAAAAGTCATTAGTTTTGGACAAAGGCTCAACCGCTCGACAAACCGAATCCAAAATATTAATTGTCTTGACCAAATTCGTTGGATCTTTATAATTTTTCAATACGAAACCGGCTCCTTGTAAGACGGCATTAGTGATGTCGTTTAAGTCGCAGTTTGATATAACACCTTTAAGCATTGTGTCTTCTAGTATATTCCCAGATATGAAAAAGGGTTTTCCCATCTAAAAGTTTGGAATTTCATTACCACGTATTTGTGCACAAGCACAGAGCTTAGATTTTATTGGGAAAATCAAAATTGCGGGTGGCTAATCTTTGATCGGGACGAACGCCCAATCCATACTTGTTCCGTAAATAAAGCGTCTAGTAGCTAACGGCTACAAAGCCAATACAACAATAATTGCATGTGTCATCTAAAAACGACATATTAGAGATCAAAAGGTCGGCTTAATAAAAGCGGGGTTCACATAATGAGACCATTAAATATGTATTTATTACAGCTTAAATAAGAGCTTAAAAATAAGAAAAATAAGAATTAAAATAAAAAAAATACTTGGTGACACTTTGCGCTTAGTTTTAGTTGTATTGCGATCATCTGATGTTTGTTAACTATATTACTGGCGAGGAATTCTCTTGCCAATATTATTGCGTCAGATGCCTGAAAACAGAAATGTTTTTAAAAATAGACTAGGTTATGAAGTGATTTTTTGTACTTACTAAAATTTTTTGGTGTTACCTTGGAAGTTTTTTAAAACTCGGTAAAAAGTAGTCTGGCTGTGCCCCTGGCATTGCTGTCGTCCATGAGCGACGGTAACTTACAATTAGGTGAGCCGTATGTTCGTCTGTTTACAAGGGTAATAAAGAAAAGCTTTCCGCTCTAGCTATGATAAAAGCATAGTAACATTTACATTGAATCTAAGATATTGGAAGCTCAGAACAGTGTGCTTACATCATTTTACATTATTACTAGCTGACCCGGCAAACATTGTTTTGCCATATATAAGATTTCTAGGGAATTTCTAGTGTAGAAAAAAAAACGAACTTATTGTAAGTGTGTAAGGATGTGGTAAATGAGGGAAAGAGGTATGTAGCGCTGTGAACGATGAGGGAATATATAATAAAAATAACAAAACCTCATTCAACCACATAATACCTCATTATAACAAAAAAAAATGTCCAAATAAAAAAAAAATGTTAGGGGTGGACAACCCTAATCACTTAGGGGTATGAAAAATAGATAGTAGCCGATTCTCAGGCTTACTGAATATGCATAAAAAAAGTTCATGAGAATCGGTCAAGCGGTTTCGGAGGAGTATGGGAACAAACATTGTGACACGAGAATTTTATATATTAGATTATATTAGTTACATAACATTTTCAACCTTTAAAATTTCGTCGAAATTATCCAAACCCTCTTGTTCACAAATAGTACTTATAATCAACGGATTGTACGCTTCTGACTTAAGGAATTCCCTAGTTCTTTTTACTGTTCTTGCATATCTTATAGAATTTAAAGTTACTATATCAACCTGAAAAATTAAATCCAATCCAGGGTTACTTGTTTGAAAAACTGAGCCATGAAATTATCAGTGCTTTACCATTGAAATTCGAAATTCGAATCGTTTTCGTGGCAACATACGTTTCTTCTTAATGAAAATTTTTAATGGTTTTTAAAGTTTCAATTCAATGCTAATTAAATTTTAATACTTTTAAAAATTCCAACCTTAAACTTTCTCGCAAACATTAGTAATTCCATATCTGTTTCCAATAGGGGAGGTCTCTCCAGCTTTATGCCGCGAATACATACGAAAGCCTCGCTTCCCATTGTGCCTCCTCTTATGACTTTACATACTATAGTTTCAGAATCAATTAATTCAGTGCATATCAATACTATCTGCCCGAAACGTATCGAGATTTCCGTTCCGGGTGTTATTTTTTTAACCGTGTACGGATCGTCCATGTATATTCTTTTTGAATCACATTTAGTTTTATAATTTGCATTACTAGTTAATTCTATTATCATATTTTCTTTCAAAATTAAATGAGCATCATTTATTTCCTAGAAATCATCGTTATTATTGAGCAGTGATGTTATTCTAAGCTGAATCTATACAATCAATTATCTATAGATCTTATGATAATTTGGGAATTGTATTTAGCTATTTCGGAAGTACCTCGGATAATACTCCTGTTCGAATACAAGCGTTTGGTATATCAATAGATATTGCTATGGGCCACGCCGTGACGTTATACTTTTCGCAGTACGACTTCACAGCATCATCCAGCATTGCAAGCATTTTTAATTTATCTGTGGTGGTTACACGTGACATTGTGAATCTGACTATTTTCAAGCCGATTTCAATGAAGGTTTTGATGTCTATATAAGTCAGAGTGCCTTCACCTTAAAAGAGAAATGAATTTAGCTATTTAGTGCTGTAACTTTTAGAAATAGAAGTTTTCTCTTTATTTTGTAGTGGATGTATCGTCGAGTATTATTAGTCGATGTGATAGAAACAACGTTCGACATTTTTCATTAACAAACTTCATCCATGTTACTTGAATGGCAAGAAGATATTTATATGTCTGACAGAAATTTTGTTTTCATCGATCTTTTTTTTTTCTCGGAGACAACAAAAAAATCAGTCAAAATACCTGTTTTTGTATACTCATCTTTTAATGATGATGTTTGTTTGGATCTCTATACGTGTTGGATTTATGAGGGAATTAAAACAGGCGCCAAGCCTTTACTGGTTGATTTTTCACCAAATTATCTGATTCCCATTCTTAGAAACGACTCCGAAAGAGAGCCCCGTAGGGTGGTAGCGCTAGCTTGTACTTTATGCCACTACTCGTTGGAATATCTGATTGTAGATCGTTAGCCAATACAGCCTTCTCGGTGGACGGGCTATCCAGAGATCGTCTCAACGGTGAAACAGATATCGGGATTGTAGGCGACACATATCAATATTGTAATTATTTATTTAGTTACATTTAGAATTATGTGTTTTATAACAGTTTACATGTTTTCATTGTTAATTATGATTCACGTTTATTTCTTTAATAAATACACGAGCGCACCCGATCGTCGACGATGGTTTGAAGAACTGTGGCATTTTTTAATACAGTCAGTCGGGCAGATACATCGGCACCGCGCGAACGACAATCAGACGCGCTCATACCTCAGTAAAATCTCGTCTTTTATTTACATCGCCTACAGGGATAAACTGCTTTGTCACAGCCAGTTCAAGAAGGGCTTACGTCACTTAGTGGCTGTTGTAATTTAAAAAAACTTGCCAATTGTATGTACTCCTGACAGTAATATAAAGTTATGTTTTAATTAGTCGTAACTTACGAAACGTAACGATGAAAGGAGTGAGCCTGTATGGTTCGTCTGATTTGCTACGTAGAATGACTTCTTTCTGATCAAATAACAAGGAGCTGGGGTCACCCTTCAACATATTAATTATCTGAAATCACAGTGCATGCAAATTTTCGGAAGGAAAAAATCAGTAGAACAATAAAGCAAAGGACGAGGACGGTCGATGGGGCAGAAAGATCCTGGAGTGGCGACCACGTACTGGCAAGCGCAGTGTGGGACGGCCACCTACTAGATGGACCGACGACCTAGTAAAAAGCGCTGGGTCTCGTTGGATGCAGGTGGCATTGGACCGGTCGCACTGGAAATCTATTGGAGAGGCCTATGTTCAGCAGGGGACGGCGATAGGCTGAAATGATGAATAAAGCAAAATTTTTTTGGTCATGTAACTAACCAAAATAAAAATATTGTCTTAAAAAATATATATACAAATTTCCAAAACTGAAGACGTGTAAACTAACAAAGCTTGACGTTTATCAAATAATAAGAGAAAACGAAGAAGATTGAAGTATGTATGTGTAATGTTCTTTTTGATTTTAGGTATTTTTGTGGCTGTATGTTTTAATTAAGTATGTTGGTTATAACATAATACGATAAAGCGCTACAGTTATATACCGTTTTTATACATAGTGATCACGTGTATTTTAAAAGTAACAATAAATTTAGTTCACAGTGTCAGCATAACTTATTAAATTATGTACCGGGAGTGCATAAGTTAATCAATTGTAATGTATTTTTTTTTGTTACTGATCAATAAATCAATGATTGAAAAAAAAATATGCTAAGTTTCTTTAAATCTTAAAATGTAAACCTTTGTAAAGTATACGGCGAATGTTATTATTCTACTTTTATCTACAAAATGATATGGAAAAAAATTAAAAAGGCATATTTTTCGTTTTTCGTCAATAACGAGGCAATTATAATAAAAAATAGCTACGGTAGCTTTGGGTAGTTTATTCGTAAATCAGGGCTATAAATAGTTTCAGAATTCAGCTTTGTATCAGTTATAATATGTTAGAAATTAATAGCTTTTGTTAAGCAATAAACTTCACACAACCAGTTCGATTTATTACAATTGTTAATAAAATATTAATATAAACTAAAAAATGGTTTCACGTGACACACAAAATCGATAATATGATTTACGTAAACTTGTATCCATTTTACTGTCTTCAATCTGAAAATGAAATATGTAAATTTTACGTAAATTAATAACGAATTTGCGGGTAAAATTGTGTAGACGCTGGTTTATGAATTACAGAGCGGTTCTATGGAGACTAAACGACACAACAATGTATCCTTGTCATTCTTTTCGTATATTTGTCCAGTTAGCGGGCAGCTAATGGACAAACAAGGGGTAGCTTCGTGCCAATGTTGATTTTCAGTTAGTCGAGGTCCGCAGACGTTTTTGTAGGTTACAAGATTTATTTGTTCTAGAGGCGACCGGAGAAGCTTCCTTATACCGCGTAAAATTTGTGAAAAAGATTTGTAGACATTTGTTTAAACAAGCACGATAGTGGCAACTACCCGTCCAGACTTAGAATACGCCATTAAATACACAAATTTAATAATAACTAGAGGTCCCGCAGTAGTCGAAATTCAACTATAATTAATTGGAATTGTAAGTTTGTACACTATTATGATTGTATTTTATACTTCTATAATCACAAATTTCGCCATGGCTACACTATAAAAAAATATTAATAAAGACAAACAATATTTAATCTATTCTCAATTTGACCACAGACGTCAAGAACAAAAGTTTGACAATAAATAGTATGCATGAGTGTGTGCGTCAAATACCTGGTATGTAGTGTGTGTAATGTTTTCTTTATTGATTTAATGTATATTTTATGCATTATTTAAAAAAAATATTAGCATTGTGCACTCCCTCACTATATTCTCTATAAGTGTGAGATATTTTATACTCCTCCGTCCACGCAATTTTCGTAAAATGGGGCACAAGATTTTTACTTCACGTATTATTCACGTCATATTTAAATAAAACTGTATTTACATTCGTTTAGAAGTTTATTTCGTGAGCGCAAATCTGTTTGTACGTCACATAAGTTTGGAAACTTCTCAGTGTGTACATTTCGAACGGTCTTAATGAAAGTTTAATGACGTCATTAAATCACAGATTCGTTTTGAAGTACAATGCCATCACATTTCTTTCACGAACGAGTAAATAAAAATTTTAAATACACTTTAAGATGGTAATTATTTCATGAGGCTTATTCATCGCGGTCATCATATTGGCTACATGAAGTAAGGTTGCAGCGATTTTTTTAAGTCCTAACTAACCATTAAGATTTTCTAGTCAGTGGCAGAAAAGCTAGTTAGTAGTGCAAAGGCTTCATGTAATACTTGAGAAATGCTACGATACATTCTTTGGTGAGACGCTTAGTCACCTTTTTCGACACCAATGTAAATTACCAGACAGACATACAGTACCAGGCAATAAATATTGCACATCGATATTTAGAAAGAGACAGTCGTCTAATTTTATTTTTGTTGTAGAGCGTTACCTGTGTGCGACGAAACACTAACGATCCGGTATTATTACTGGTGGTAGGACCTCTTATGAGTCCGCCGGGTAGGTACCACCACCCCTCCTATTTCTGCCGTGAAGCAGTAATGTGTTTCGGTTAGAAGGGTGGGGCAGCCGCTGTACTGAGATCTTAGAACTTATATCTCAAGGTGGGTAGCGCATTTACGTTATAGACGTCTATGGGCTCCAGTAACCACTTAACACCAGGTGGGCTATGAGCTCGTCCACCCATATAAGCAATAAAAAAAAAACTATGGAGACTAAATGTCAATTAGGTAATATGCGACTGATATAACGAACTCTACGAAGCAAAAACTAACCGTCTCTTTCCCACGGTCGATGTGCAATATTTATCGCCGGGTACTGTACCACTGGTTAGACGGTTGGAAGAGAAGCAGCAATAGCTCAATATTGAGACCGAAGAGACTTAATTTTCCGTAATCGAGAAAACTTATCAACGATATAGTTTGATATTTGTCATTCATAATTCAATAAAATGTTATATGTTTTTGCTCTAAATCAAAAATGTAATTTTCTTACAGAACGCTGTGTTCCATAAACTAGACAATATTTTGTAAGACAGATATACAGATTGCTATCTAAAATGAAACTCAGCTTGCGGTATAACAAAGAGCTGAATAAAAATGACCTATTTAAACAAATAGCCTTAGTCTTCAAGATTTCTAATAAAATATGTAAATAAAACAGTATGGATAAATTTGATATGAATGACATGCAGGATTATGCAGAAGGCAGCGATATGACTGTACTATTGCCATTGATACCTATGAGCGATGATGACTACTTTTCATCAGATGGGCCACGTGCTCAACTCTCTTCAATAGTAATAAAAACATATGTGAGCCGTCACGGGACGCCTGGCAGATGTGAAACATCGACATTATTTTGTAAAAGTAATATGCAGAAAAGAACAGATTGTGATAGGAACTAAATATGTCATAATGATAAAATAAAATATTACGAAAAAATAATTTGTTTTCAAGTAAAGCACAGGTTATGTGTACTGTAGTAAACAACACTGTATACACTACGGAGTATATACTATAGGTATCCGAGCTCAGTGTAGCGAGAGAGATGGCTTAACGTCGGATCGAGTGGGAGAGAATCGCACAGTCGTTTGCGCATGCGCCGTACACACTACTGCATATAGACTGTATATATATACCATCATATAGCGTGGCGACACGTCACCACGGCATGCACCGGTTTTACGATTAGATACAGAAATCGGTTTTACGTGCGGCTATAGATGTTTCACATAAAATTATAGACAAGACCAAATACATTTGAAAATGAGTAGGTTTTCGTTTGCTACGTACACGAACTTGACTATATCAATGTGCTGTAATGAAAAACAATCAAATGTGTTAGCTGCACAAATTATAATAAGAAGACATAGCGCACAGCGTTATCGCACAGTACGAGTAGTATCAGCAAAACGTTAAATCATAAGAAATTAAGACATTAGTGTAATTGTAGCTAAATTTTGTAAGGAGAGCACCCCGTGTAATTAATTTTCCTATTATGAATGAGAGTGCCTCTGTAATTACAAGATAAACGGCACAGATGGGTAGTGTCACGATTATTATCACTCTTAATTATTTTAATTTGTTTTATAAGTGGATAGAGTCGAAAATCGAGTGTCTTAATATAATTTATTATCAAGCACGTGTACCAATTCAGCCTATGGTTAATGAGCATTTAAATTCTGTAATTTATAGTTAAGTTTCACTAAAATTGATAAGGAGAAATGCACTAGAAACTACTATAAGTTCGTTCGTTTCTTAGACATTCGTAATTTGCAAGTATTTCGATAGTAAATAATCAATAGTATCCTTTTGGCTTAGTGATATCCAATGGTTGGAAAGACATCTACGTACAATATTAAACCATTTTAATATGTATAGTTTATACAAACGTTGACTGATTTGTCTGCTTCTACCACCCAAAAGTCTTCTACCCTTGATCATGGATGGCACTTACAATATAAAATAGCTGAAGAAGCTTTTTTGTTATGATATTTTTTCCAAATTTTAAATGGCTCTTCTGTAAAGTTGCAATAATGTCGCTTAAACAAAATAGCCTTTCACCTTTTGATATAATAACATATTTTGAATATAAAATTTCAAATATCTTACAAGAAAATCAAGGTTTCATAATTTGTATGTATATTTACTTAGAGTGGCCCGCTCCGGCTCCACTCGGGTCTAGAAAAGAACACTTATTGCGGCATAACTACAATAATTAGACATATGCTGTCGTGTGCACTTTTTGTAAATAATAATGTGTTCTACAAAACTTAGTATATTATTTTATTGTATCATCAATCGTTTACGCAGGGCACGCGACGTAAAGAATATGTTAAGTAATTTTTAAACACCTTGGGTTACATTATTGGAGTTTTAGTAAGGATCCCTATTTTTTTTCAA